TATCCTCCCCAGAGTACTCCCTTCTGCATCATCTACACCAGTTCATTGCCTACTTTATTTCTGTCTTAATGTAATGAAATTTTGGTAAAACAAAAAAGATGAAGGAAACTGAAGTAGCTTTACAAGCATTCCCACTCCCTCCCCTTCCAGTGGTGAAGGCAGAGGTCTTCTATGATTGCTGCAGTTTGCATTTGGATTTGACTTGCACAGATTGGCCATTTCCTGCTCCTGTAGGTGTATATATTTTTCCAAGGTCTGGAAAAAACACAGCTCTTATAAACTCACAGAAATGCTTACACAAGCTCTTAAATACTCAGAGATGATAAATTCATCCATTAATGGATCTGTTTTTCTGAACTGGAGAATATACCATGATCCTAGAAGGCAAGGCAGAACAGGGGATGGGGGAGAGAAAATATACAGTGGAACATTTCTATATTTTGACTACATCTATTAATACATTACAAAGAGCAAATTGTCAAGCTATTTAGGTTGCAACTTTTAACTTGCCCTCTAAAATTCCTTTGTAACAAAGAGGAAATAAGTTTAGCCCAGTTGCAACTTTATTCCTTTCTTCCATGCTTTAAATAAAGAACCACCTTGCAACGAGCTCTTTGCCTCTCCAATTTCTCCAGTCCAAGGTGGTCCAGCAGGCAGGCACTGGATAAAGGCTTAAAGCACCCTCTGCTATTCCTGGCTCTGACACTGACCTGCTGCACAGAGGGCAGCTTGGTTGACATCTCTCTGCCTCTGCTTCACCTCCCAGCCCTTGTTTACCCTGGCTATTTAGGCAGCAAGCTCATCAGGGCACAGACTGCTCTTGCTGGGCCTGTACAACAGCTGGCAAAACAGACACAGGCTACAGGACACAACTGTAATATCACTATACTCACCAAAAACCAAAGGCTTTGTGCTACTGCTCAGCTACAGTTTAGCTCCAGAAAGTGTTGTAAAGTCTTAACTTTACTGTGATATGCTGCCATGCGTTTTTGAAACAAAAACTGCACCTTTCACCTTACCTCTTGAAGATGGAGCTCAACTTTTGCTTCAGCTGCTCCTTTGACAGAGTGAAGTAAAAATCTTCAGCATAGGGACTATCTTTTTACCATCCTCATAACAAGGTCTTTTAGCAGTACAGGTCTATATATAAAAGTAACACCACTATACAGAAAAAGTGGCAGCCTGATACAGAGAGATGCATAGGATAGGTGCCAAGAAGCACATCCATCTAGAACCACTCTAGGCTTCGGTAACAGCGACACAATATTCTCTTGAACATTTATTTACTGCTGATTCAAAGAAGAAAGAGCACATTTTTAACACCAAGAATGTGCTTTAAGAACCCTTGCAAATCAGCTCCTGTTGTTCCTAACATACAGTGACTCCTGCTGATGCAAACCTAGCGATACCCCTCAGCCCACCAAAGGAATGAAGTGTACAGATACATCTCTCAAAGCAAACTTCTTTCTTCTCCTGCAAGTGCACAATTGAATCAATACCTTAAATACTTAATTTGGCTTACATCTGTGTCTCCCAATCAGCTGAATGTACCAGAAACAGCAAATATGAGAGATGGTCAATGTTGTGAATATGCCTTTGACAATAACAGTTAGTGTCTGGGATTAAATGCATCTCTTCCTTTGGCATCATTACAACTCAATTTAACATTGTTTAAGCCTAAGCATGTGTCCAGAGATAACCATAGCTGGCAATTTTTAAAGGTATGTAGCCAGGAAGACAAATAGTTTAATAATATAAAAGTTAAATAAAATCAAATTGTTTCACATATACTACTATTTTTCTTTTTTCTGCTGCTAATAGCTAGAGGTTTGCATCCAGTTTCTTATCAATCTTCTCTCTTCCCTATTTTGCCATAAAGAAGTTCTATAAGCAAGCTGACTGCAAAACCAGTTTTTTCACATACAAGATAAAGCCCTTTCCTTCTGATCTTCTTGTTACAATTATCAGAAGATATACCAAACAGAAACAACATTTTAAAGAAACAGTGTCATTTTCAACTTAATCACCCTTTTAAAAATGGGTAAGTGGGGGCAGGGGATAAGTTTCACAGCTATTTCACTCTAGGCTCAAATTTATTGCTATTTACAAAGCATTAACAGATGGCTTATCAAAAGCCATTTAACAGAAGAAACGATCAAACTATTCTGAGATGGGTTTTTGTTTTAAACTGTAAATACTCCCTAGACTAGTTTTTAACTTATGCCAGCCTCCAAGGGACCATCAGTTTAAAATCTAATGTTAGAACCATGCACGTTATTTTATTAAGTACATTAACCCTAAACAGTTCCAGCCTTTGCTTTCTCAATTGCTCACAGTATTGCACAAAAACCTCTTAAAAATAAAAACCAATGTTCACCTCATGCAATATTAGCCAGAACATGCAACAGAAGCTTCAGCTCCTGAGTCAAAACCAAGCTTGACAAACTCAAGTGTTACTCCATATCACTAAGAAAGCACAGTTATCAAGAAGGTCCAGCTATCCATCATCTTCGTCACCATTCTATTTACACAGTGATATTTTAGCTTAAATACCTACTCAGCTCAAATTTAACCTTCAATGAGCAATCTACCAGGTTCCTACTTAGAATTACTATCAAGAAAGGCCATGTGCCCAGAAGCTTACCTCAAATCCTGCCCCAATTTGTACTGGTGTGTTAAATAAAATACAGTATCTCTCTGCAAATCTTACTCCCTCAATTGCAAGAGCACCAATCTCAGAGATTGTTCCTGATCTTGGAGACATGCATGAGGAGCAAGTGCTATGGAAGAGACATGGCTAGTTAAAACCCTCAAGCTGCCACAGAGACTATCAAACTCTTCTTCAGCTAACTACAAATTTTACAGCTGTACAACTCAACACATGCACTCACACTGGTTCTTCTGCAGATGTTCAGATATCCAGATCCCCTCGTACTGCTATATTGCCAGAACTGTCTACCCTACTGGGGCAAAACTCATATGCAGCTGCCCACAGATGCTGGATCTCCACACGGGGAAAACAAGTGTTTGCTTTGTGGCATTCTCTGTAAGATCTGTCACACTGTTTCAAAGAACTGGAGAATGCCTAAGCCTTCCATGAAGTCAAAAGTAACTAAAGGATTCATCCTCCGGATATACCTCAAGGTTCCTCCATAACCACTTGTAATGTCACTTCAGTGTGTTATCCATGATTGAACTCCCCAGGACCACAGCAGTGCTGATCAGTGCTAAAAGCAGCTCTCAGTACTAGAGTTGTTTAAGGAAAACTTGAAAATAGAACTCAGCACAAAAGCATATCCTAGAATTACTACAAAAACCCTGTACATAGCAAATCTAACAGCACTGAAATCCCTGGGAGTTCATGATACTCAAGCAGCCTTCCCTTCTCTGAAACCCTCTGACCCAGCAAACCTCTTCTGTAGCTGTTTATAGACCTGCCTTCCTCTGCAGGGGGAAGTGGTGGTCCTTACACACACCGCACCTGGTCTGCTGTACACCTGATCCCTCCTGCAACTGAAGGAGCACAGTATCACCTTATTCTTAATGAAAAATACAGAACTTCATTTCCTTGGGAGACAAAATCATATATCACAGTAGACAAGAGTCCAATACACAGCCATTCTGCAGTGCTTATTCCTGCTGACTTCCAAGGGAACTCCGCTTAACTTTCAAGCTGTGAAGACTGAGTAGGTTGAAGTGCTGGCCTGAAAACCCAACACGAGAATTTTCACCACCACTAAAGTTCTGCTCCTGCCAGCAGGAGCTATAATTGTTTCTCTGAAGTCTGTGCTATTGATGAATAGTAATATGAGACAGCAAAATAGGGTTCAAAACCTGACATCCCTTCTTTTGAGTCATGTCAACACAGTGTTTACAGTACCGAGTCACTGGATGACGAACAAAATCCATGCCGGCAGCTACAGGAAAACCATAGCAAGGGATTTATAGACCCTAACACTCTAAACTTCCTCTTGGCATCCTTTAAATAGCAAGGAAAGCCACACTGTGGGGCTGTCTCTGAGTGGCATTTGGTACATAAACAGATTTGAGAGAGAAAAGGCAAACTCTAGGTCCTTACCAACCAAGGCCTAAGCCCCAAAGGCACTTCATCTAGAAAGACGCTGGTGTCATACACAGCAAAGCCAAGAGGGCTCACACCTCTTCCTAACCTATGTTGTGCTGTTGAACTGGAGGAAAAATAAAAATAGACACCAGGAAAAAAACCTGATAATCCCTACTCACAAAACTTTAAAACCCAGAAGCCATGAAGGCTCAAGAGTCACTTTCTCTGTGACAGATATCACCACTTATACCAGCAACTTGCTCTGTGAGGAGAGCCTAAGATACATGTTTCTGGGGGCCCATGCCCACTCTGAAGCCTTTTCTCAGGACACCATCCCAGGCCTTGCTACCTTGCAGCTTCTTCTCTGAGGTGTCTTTGAGACCATGGCAGGGGCTGCTGCTCAGAAGTGGTGAAGGCACATGGGCACACAGGAGCCACCCCAGCTGCACACAACAGCTCCCTCCATCTCCTCATGTTCCCACCTCCCCTAGGCTGATGTCCCTGAGCCTCTGCGTTTTGTTTGGAGCGGTCTGGGGACCAAGCTGATCACAGAGCCACAGAATTGTTAGGGTTGGAAGGGACCTCTGAAGATCATCTAGTCCAACCCCCCTACCAAGGCAGGGTCACCTAAAGCAGGTGACACAGGAATGTGTCCAGGTGGGTTTGGAATGTCTCCAGAGAGGGAGACTCCACACCCTCCCCGGGCAGCCTGTCCCATTGCTCTGCCACCCTCAGTGTACTTAAGTTCTTCCTCATGTTAAGGGGAAACTTCTTGTAGTTTAATTTATGGCCATTGCTTCCTGTCCTGTTGCTGGGCACCACCGAAACAGCCTGGCACCACCCCCTTGGTACCCTTTGAGATATTTATATGCGTTAAAGAGATGCCCTCTCAGTCTTCTCTGAACTGAACGGGCCAGCTCCCGCAGTCTCTCCTCACACGAGAGATGCTCCAGACCCCTCATCATCTTCGTGGTCTCCGCTGGACCCTCTCCAGCAATTCCTGTCTTTCTTGTATTGAGGAACCCTGAGTTGTACACAGTTCTCCAGGTCTGGAGAGGGCCTCACGCTGCAGCACTCCCGCTGGGCCTGGCGCTGAGGCATCCCGGGAAGCCCCCGCCATCCTCGTCCGCTCCCTCGCGGGGACAAGAGGCACCTC